TGTTTCAAACCTTGTTGAGAGAAGCCTGGATTTTCCATTCGCGGACGGTAACTTAGATGAATCTACAGCTGTTCTTAATAACGCTTTGAAAACGTGTACCAATCAACTAGTTGAGCAAAAGTTTGTTTCTTTGAAAAACTCGAACAGCTGGTACAATTTGGATCTTTTGCGTCTTAAACGGAAAAGGGACAAATTGTACAAAAAGTTTTGTAGATCAAATAATGACAATCATTGGGCTAGGTACACAATCGCGCGTAATAAGTATTCACAATCGATAAAGAAAACTCGTTGTGAATATGTTCAAAGGAAGATTGATCAGCATCAAAACAACAGCAAAGAGTTATGGAAAATTTTGAAATCTTTATTAAAACCTAGTAATTGCAAACCGCGGTCCATAACTTTTAATGGCACATTAGAACAGTCAGAACAAGTAATTGCAGCTAAGTTTAATGATTATTTCGTAGATAGCGTTTCATTGATTAATCAATCTATTGAATTGGTCGATGAACCTGACGAAATAAAACAGCCAGTTAATAGTAGTTGTAGATTTGAAGTTTTTCACCCAATCACATTAGATGAACTTAGAGTTATTTGTTTTTCATTAGGAAAATCGGCTGGAGTAGATAATGTTAATGCTAGAGTTATTCAAGATTGCTTTCATGTCATTGGCCACATCTTGCTGGACCTTATTAATGAATCATTACAAACTGGACATGTGCCACAAATTTGGAAGGAATCCTTAGTGGTCCCTATTCAAAAAGTTGCTGGAACGATTAAAGCCGAAGAGTTTCGTCCCATCAACATGTTGCACACATTAGAGAAAATTTTAGAACTTGTTAAAGGCCAGCTGTTGGAGTATTTAAATAGTAATAGTTTGTTGATACCAGAACAATCGGGATATCGGGAAGGTCATTCTTGTGAAACCGCGTTGAATTTGGTATTAGCGAAGTGGAAAAATAACTTGGAGTGTAAAGATACGATTGTTGCTGTTTTTTTGGATCTTAAACGCGCTTTTGAAACAATTTCTAGGCCCTTATTGTTAAGATCAATCAAGCGCTTTGGAATTACGAGTACTGCATATAAATGGTTTGAAAGCTATTTGTCTGACAGAACTCAACGGACTGTTTTTAATGATTCTGTTTCCAGTCCCGTGGGGAATAACCTTGGAGTGCCCCAGGGAAGTGTATTAGGGCCCCTGTTATTTATTATGTATATTAATGACTTGCGACGTGTTTTACGATTTTGCGACATTAATCTTTTTGCAGATGATACTGTGTTATTCATTGCAGCTAAGGATTTAGATGATGCCGTTTTACACTTGAATGAAGATTTGCGTTCTCTAAGTAGATGGTTGAAGTATAAGCAGTTAAAATTGAATACAAGTAAAACTAAATTTATGGTAATTTCGCGAAATCGAGTAAATGAGAACGTCTCTGTTGTAATTGATGATGAGACTATTGATCGCGTTCGGGAGATTAAATATCTTGGCGTGATTATTGATGACACACTTAAGTTCAACTCTCACATTGACAATGTCATCAAGAAAATTGCCAAGAAGTATGGAATTCTATGTCGACTGAAAAACGATTTAACTATTGCCAGTAAAATACAGCTATACAAATCAATCATCTCTCCTCATCTTGACTTTTGCCCTTCCATTTTATTTCTGGCCAATGCAACACAAATATCGAGATTACAGCGCTTGCAGAATAAAATAATGCGTTGGATTTTGAGATGTAATAGATTCACTTCCTCAACTTTGATGTTAGACGCCTTACAATGGTTGTCGGTGAAGCAAAGAATTGTATATTTGACTATGGTGTTCATTTTTAAAGTAGTTAACGGTTTGCTGCCTCGATATTTGTGTGATCGAATTGAAAGAGGAAGTGACTTTCATAGATATAATACTAGAAACGCGGTTGAAATAAGAACACCACATTTCTTGACTTGTGCTTCACAAAATTCATTATATTATAAAGGAATAAATGTTTTCAATTCGATGCCTAGACATATCAAACGTTTAGCAACACTTACAGAATTTAAAAGACACTGCATTTCACACGTTAAAACTGTCTTTTGAACAGTTATCCAGTGATTTTTTTATGAATTGACAAATTATGTATCTTGACGAAGTTATCTCTAACGGATTATTTTATATGGATAGCTGTCATAACGACTTTTTAATAATTATTGTAGCACTGCAAAAACTATTTCTGTTCGCCACGAGGGTGATGATGGATTTTTAATATATGATTTTATAGTAGATTAATTTAAAAAAAAAAAAGTAGTCTACAAAGGTTTGAGCCTCGCGCGCGTATTACGGATATAGAGGACTGAATTTAACATTTGATAAAAAAAAATGCAATTTTGAAGCTTATTTGGAAGATACTTTGAGTTAGTAGTAAGTTTTCTGGCAAATGTCGGGGGTTCGTGAGCATTCCTGACATTGCTGAAAATTATAATAGCATCATTGCGGGGTTGCTAGTGTATAGGATGCTTTGTTGATTGTTCATTAACTCTTGATTGCTTGTAATACTTATGAATATTTTAGGTGGACAAAAAGGCGAACTAAGAGGTGAACGCCTGAGCTTTTCCACATTTATATCGCTGTGAAGCAACTGTAAACTTTAGAGGGAATCTATATCTGTAACTGAAACCAGTTCGATTTTGTTTGCCAACCTGGTTAAAATGTCATATTCAATTATCTTAAAGATAAATCGTCCAGCTCAAACCTTTGTAGGGGTAAGAGGTGGGACCATCATCATCATTCTAATTGCCACACGAAAGGAGCGCGAGTGAGAGTTCCAGCATTGAAAAAGGCTGGCTGATCTCGTCTACCGAATTCGTCGTTTCGCGAGGAATCATCCGTGCCGGCACGGAATCAGGACATACTTTTCGCGCGAACTTGAGAATCCAACGATCTGAGTACTCCTCGCTCTCGTTGTTCAAAGACCGGTTACGCATCCTTTGCGCCGGGTTCAAAAGCGTATTCATCGACGTTTCGCGCGATTATCCGTCCACGAATTGCCGCCAGTATCCGCGTTTTCTAGCTTTTATGAGGCTCTTGAGTTCGCGTTCAAGAGCTGAGTACGCTTCGAAATGCACGGGTGTTCCACGTTTCCGGAAAAGCTTAAACGCGTCGGACTTTTTTCGATAAACCTCTGTGCATTGCTGGTCCCACCAAGGGGAAGGAGGTTTCCTACGGAATGACGTTCCAGGAACCGGCCGAGTTTGAGCTCGAAGCGGGCTGTCTAAGATCAGATTTTAGAGGAAGTTATATTCCTCCAACGGTGGAAGCCCTTCTACCGACGACACGGCTCCCTCTATCGCGGTCTTGAACGTTGTCCATCGATATTACGGGTGAGGTCGTACGCGGCGTTTACGGATTCCGACGGATTGAAGCCACTGGCAATCGAAATTTTGATCGACAAGTGATCACTACCGTGGGGATCCTGGATCACATTCCACGTGCAATCCAACGATGTTAGAGCAAAATGTGAGGCCAAACGTCTTACTTTTCCATTGTTAAGAATTGTCATATTGAAGTTGTCCCAGAGGTCATATATCATAGTAGAACGGTTGTCATCATACAGTTCCCCCCAGCCTGTACCGTGGGAATAAAAATCTCCCATAATCAACCGTGGAGCAGGAAGTACCGAACATATATCTGAAAGTTGTTTTCGATTAACAACGGCTCTAGGAGGCTTACCTTTAAAAATAGCCTGACATAACTGCTATTGTGTTAACAATTTCCTTTTCTTGATCTACAATGCAATACTACTAATAATGCAATTTCCTATTTTTCTTACCTGTTTGTGTACCCTCCATTGTGCAAAAACGTTTATTTTTTTGTAAATATGTATCCAGAAGATTTATTATGCTCTTTCCAGCAGTTCAAAACAATGTTATCATCATTTTTTAGCTCCGGTTTAGAAGAACAGATGGCGCATTTTACTCTAAAGTTTGACGTTAGCTTGACAATTGATGTTTCTGCTATTTTTTGCCATTCTGAGCATCCAAAAACTTTCACTCAAGAGCCCGGTTTAGGCTAGGCAAGGGATCTTCTGGATTTGTGCTGCTTATGGATAATGAATTAAGAACACATGCACTATGGGGATAAGCTGGTAGAAGCATGCCGATGTGACGGGGTGGGTTGATTTTTTCTTATGATCTGTACTGAAACTCATAATTGAGTAAAATGTTGAGTTTGATTCAAAACCAGCGTGATTGCATTGCACCCATTAGCAATGGAAGAATGCACCGTTAAAAAAATCACTACGGCCAATATAAAAACAACTACTGGCACTGGAGTTAATTGTTTAAAACCAACTATTAAGATTATTGTGATGAAAATATAGCAAATGTCACTTCGTTTTTAATGTTCAGAATACTTATTTCGCTGAGTTGCTACATTGCAAGGAGATAACTATTTCATAACAAGTGAAAACTTAATATGCTTACTTACTTGTGCCTAAACTGGTTCACATACCCTATATTGTTTATGAACTACTGATATAATTTTCTTATCATTTCACTACACAACGTTCTTTCTTAAATGCTTGGTTCATTAGTTATAAATTTTCAAAGTACATGATGTCTGTGAAAATCCGAAAACATATACCTTACCAATTTCTTGAACTGGGTGATGAGCTCATTTTTGCGTAAAATACTTTACACAGTTAAATACCAGTATGCATCATAGCAGTTATATATTCACACAAACAGCTCAAAAGATAATATTGGAATACACCATTCTACTTATAAATGGACGTAAACACCAAATGAGGTATTGGGTTAACGCATTTGCGTAAAACAAGAAAGATTTGTCTAGAGCAGTTCATCTGTGATCTCAAATCGTTCTATTTCCTTATGTTATCCCCGTCTCTGCCCAACGAGCACAATGTATGCGGCAGAAGCGCGACCCGTTACGTTCCCGAAAAACCAGTTTATTGACAAGGTCTACAGACAATCGTTGAGATGATGCCAGTTGGTGACTTACTTCCAAGTTTAACACACGTTGGTGTAGGCGATGAAGAGACTAGTGTTGATATTTGCACTTGTGCTTCTTATCGTGGAGCGATCCAACAGTCAGGTAAGTAGTAATATTTATATATGTATATGTATATAGATAAGTAGTAGTGGTATTAATTGTATCAGTGTTAGATCAAACTACAGTAATGAAGATTACATTACCAAATTTTGTTCTACTGTAGGAGGAATGCCAAGGAATTTGCGTAAAAAAAGATCTGTGCAATGCAGAAAACAGTACTGATGTCGTCGTAGTGCCTGTAGTTACCGATTCGACCAACACATTCAATGTTGATTTGAGGTGATTTTATGAAATTATTTTGACAATGTTCACCGAGCTAAATTTTTCTTCAACAGACTAAACACTGGTTGTGACCGACTGGAAACTTGTTGTAAAGAATCTGATGTCATTGCAAGTGCACCACCAAGAAATAATGCCGCATTTGAACAATGTGGCATCCGGAATGACAACGGAATCGGTTATCGGTTAGTTGGTGATAAAGTTGGATCAGCTCAGTATGGTAATTGGTTGTTATTGTCAGCAAAATTTTCTATTTACTTTTGCTTAAAATTATAGGAGAATTCCCATGGACGCTAATGGTGTTGAAGAACCAGGTTTTGTTGAGTATTAAGAAGGAGATCTACGTATGCGCAGCATCACTGATAGCCCCAGATTTGGCTCTAACCACTGCCCACTGTGTAAGAGAACACAAGACAATCAATTATTTGGTTAGGGCAGGAGAATGGGATACCAGTAGTTTTCAAGAGCTGTTTTCAACTCAGGTACATACAGTTCTATCGAAGAAATAACAGATGTAATGGCAAATTTGATTTCAGACACGTGGGGTATCGCAAGTGCTTGTACACGAACAATACAACGAGTATCATCACAACAATATAGCTCTTTTGAAAATGGAAAAGCCCTACAAAGCTGATCTGAATATTCAGACTATATGTTTACCCTCACCTCAGTTTCAATTAGTCAGTGACGAGAAATGTTTCACTGGTGCATGGGGAAAGGACAAATTCGAGCAAGGTCAAACACAGAACATTCTTCGCAAAATAGAAGTGCCGATTGTACCTCACTCCAAATGTCAGGATGCATTTAGATCAACGCGTCTTGGATCATATTTCATCTTGGATGAAAGCTACATGTGCGCAGGTGGAGAGGAAAATGTTGACGCCTGTACCGGAGACGGTGGAGCTCCGCTAGTTTGCCCTGCTGATGGTAGCCGTTACTATCAGGCAGGAATCGTAGCTTGGGGAATCGGTTGTGGACAAAAGAACATACCAGGAGCATACACAGATGTTTCCAAATTCGTAGATTGGATTAAAAAAAATATGGAGGCATTGGGATCTGACGTAAATGCCTCAAAGTTTTGATATGTGTGTAGAACTCGTCGACAAAAATATGCATGATTTGAGATTTTGGTACAACTATAGATTCTCATCATAATCAACCATAAACCACATTTTGTTCAGTCTGGCAAGGTTTCAATCATAATTTGAAGTAGTTTTCTTCCACTATTGTAACAAACTGTCCACTCAACGCCGTCATATTTCAATTCCATACTTTAAATAGTAAAAAATGGTTGAATATTATTTATTCTAGTAATAACATAAATAGACGAGTAATAAATTCCAGTCGCGATTTATCACATGTTGCATTAAATTTCCTTTTGAATCGTAATTGATGACTAAAATTTTGATAATATCTCAGTTCTATCAATCATAAGAATAGGTACTTTTTCTACATAATTTTTGCAGAGTTTAATTTTCACTGTTTCGCTCTGAAATCGATGCTCATGATAAATTCCTTAAAAAGAAGAAATAAATTGTATGCATAAAACCTCTTTTTGGGGAATCACCAATCATGTATGCGCATTCCATGGTGTTCAGTATATCTGTCTGTGTCATTCTCTTCTTGCGCGATGGGAATAGGGTTGTTCAGCCGGTTTCACTGAAATCGGTTTTTCCGGGAATACCGTGCCATACTGAAATACCGGATTTTACAGAGTTTGTTGGAAATGTTATCTAACATGAAGCTTTAGTGTGATAATGTATTAGCTAGAGAATGGTCTTTGGGAGAGGGTAGGTAGAGTTCCGTTAGAGTACGGCAGTATGAAAATTGAATAGCAGTTGAAAATGAGCGAAGGGCCATTAATGCGACAGTACAAAGTCAAACGCACACCTTTTACCTAACCCGTACGATGTACGCGGATATTTGAAGTATGTCTTTTAACGGATTTTAACTTTTAAAAACCGGTGATTTCGATAATTTTTAACTCCAATGTTTGATGTTTACCGTGCGGGACCGAAATCCGTACACCTAAGCACTAGAGAATCATTAACGGTCAATACTAAATAATGCTATCACATTATGCTCTTTATCACATCTTTTCCCCATACATTTATCTTTATTTTACCATTATTTGCAAACACCAGGTGTTAAAATTACCTTTAATTATAAGAAAAAAGTATTTAAATTACACATCTCTTGAATCAAAATCCGTACAATTTTGAATCGAAATCCGTACACTGTGTTGAGGATGAATCAAAATCCGTACAATCATGAATCAAAATCTGTACATGCATGTAAATCGATCTAAATCAATGAAAAAAAAAACATGTTGCTGTCTTGAATAAAGTATTTATTTAGAAGTTGCTTGCCTAGGAGTCCAAAACAGATATACTCGTTTAAATACACTAGTTTACAGCATATTTGAACGTTGTACGCTGATGGTAATTTCCCATGTAAAATCGTGCGCTGAATCCAAAAATGTAGTGCAATAAATCTCAGTAGGATAGTTTTTGAGATATAGCTAAAAAATGAAATATCACTTTAAAAAAAAACGTGTTTACTAAAACCACAAATACCTCCGGCTGTAATGAAGTAATATTAATTTTTTAACGCCGAATTAAACGTGATAAATTTTTTTTTGTGAGTGTAATGATAGAACCACAATAAACATTTTTATTTACATTGCATAAAAAATTAGCAGAAATTCAATTTTTCTAAAGATAACTTAAAAAAAACTATTAAATAATAACAATACCACTAATCTCACTGACAATTGATGTTCAATTGATGTTCAATTGATCGAACGAAAAATTTCTTACCTCTAATTTAGCGTTAAAGTAATTATTGTTGGATTCAGCGTACGATTTTACATAAAAATCATTCGTCAAAGGTTCAAGTTCATTTTTTTTTTACTTTTATTTTTTTAGCTTGTAATATCAGCGTTAGATTAATTGATGCTCCAATCAAATCAAAGGAAAGGTAACTGATTTCTTTTTATTTAAGAAGGTGACTGCTCTGGATTTTATGCTAACTAATATCATGTTTAAGGATTCATTTCCTCCAAATTTTATTCTATACCAGTGCTTTGGGTTAAATATTATAACTAGAGTTTACCTCCGATCACAACTTCGAGGTCTTTGAAATTTGACATGTGATAACGTGCAAGATGCGCCATACTTTGGAACTTTGGGGCACTCCAGCTCAACGCTACAAAACATTATTAACCGGGACTAAACTGGGCGGTGTAGCGTGGACAATGTTGTCGAATCAATAATAGCAAACTGAATAGAAGACTGCCGAAACATCTTTAATACACCGATAATGGAAACGCTCCACCAACCCACTGGCATCAAGCGATAGAATAAGCGGTTCCTAAGATCGTAGCCCTATAATGGCGGATAAGTGAAAAAAAAAATTACAACCATATTAGAAACCAACAAAAAAAGACAATGAACTGACATCAAAGATTAATTTTTCGTTTTGTGCATGAAAAATAAAATAAACGTAAGTTAACGACTAAAACTTAATTTAATTTAAAACGTCAAGAGAGTAATAATTATAAAAATGCAGATCTTTCATTGCTTTTTTTCCGTAGCTTTCTTCTGCTTCTTCTCCATTGTTGCCATTGCTTTTTCAAGTTATAATGCTTTCTTGCTTCCAGCTTTCTTTCTTCTTCTTCATCTTCTTCCTCCTATTCCTCTCTCGCTCAACCTTTTTCTTTTGTCGTTCCTCAATCCTTTGTTTCTTTGCGTTCTCTTTATCAATTTTCTCCCGTTCACCTTCATGTATATTTCCGGCCATTCCTCGCTGGTGGCTACTGTTGGGAATGCTCTCTTGCCCATTTCTGTCTGCTCTCTGCAATTTGTATATGTAGAGGAGCTGCGTTGTTTTCCTTTTCGGCTGGTTCTTGACGCTCTTCATTAAAAGATATTAATAATATAACATTTACAATACGAATAAAATAAGAGAGTAGCGATTCAATACGGCATCTCTTATGGTGGTAAATGGAACGGCAAAATCCCTGGATGCTTCTCGGTAAGATTTCCCCGCACGCATCATTGCCACAGTCTTCTCCAAATCCTCCGGCGTGTATTTAGCTTCCATGATCTGCTGAAAAACATTGGATAAAGTGGAGTCATCATTGTGAATGCACAAGTGTACGGATTTAGAATCAGCTGTTATGTATGGATCGAAATCCGTACAGTACTAATTTTGATAAATAAATGCCATATGAATGATCCATTGCTTAGAATTGAGATATAAAACGATAAACACTTACCTTTCCGATCGACCTTCAGGAAACTACTTGCAAAAATCACTTAAATACGCTTAACAACTGGAAGTAAATCCGAGAGATTTTCTTAGAAAATCGTTAAGAACGCAACCGATTGATAGAAATGCCCGACACTTGATAAGGTTTATATTTTTCTTATTTTAATTGCATGACATACTGCTTAATTGTTGACATAAATATCAAGCTAATGCATGAATGAACATGAATATGTATTCATGTATAATATTTACATTGTGATGATGCATATAAATAAACAAATTCAACAGGGTGTACAGATTTCGGTGCTGTATGGATTTCGGTCCCGCACGGTACTAGCTGTTGGCACAATCAGCTGAGTGTTGTTTGCTTTGTGAGTCACGCAAAAGTCTGTTTTTCAATAGACCCATAGTTGCGGTGCTTGCTCATTATTTGAAGCAGTGTTGGGAAAATATCAAAAAATCAAATCTCACCAATGCCAAGATCACGCTTGATTTTCGTAGACAAAAATCAACAAGCAAACAACTGTGGTTGATTTTGCAAGCTAATAAAAGTCACTCGATGCAAATCTCACCAAACTGTGGTGAGATTGAGCTTAATGATTTTTGTTTTACACCCGAACGCAACCGAAACTTTCATAACGACTGGCAGCAGTCCCTTCGTGTCTAACACCGATGTAGAGTAAAAAGAGATAGCAAACAATACTTCCTCTTTCTAATAGCGAATTCGTTTATTATCGGGGTTGGAACCAGTTCCAACCCAGTGCGAAACCGAACTTTTTGTAAGTGCGAACCTCAACCTGAGCTGGGTTTAAAAACAAACGATCAAACTGACGTTTGTCAGAAAACAAGCAGGCTCAATCTTGATACCCGATCCAGGTTGGAACTGAATAATAAACGAATTCGCTATAAGAAAACGATATGTAACGGAATCATTTTTGTTTCGAGTCAACTCTCAGCATGATTTTTGCACGTTGCGAGACTATCCTCGCAATATAAAAGGAGCTTGTAAAATCAATATCAAGCATAATATTTTATTCCAATATCACGCGTGATTTTGAGAGCGGATAAATATCATTTGATTGATGATTTTGCCAACATTGGTTTGAAGTTCGTTCGCTTTTGTCGTTGGCTCCGTTGAAAGCACACAAATAGTGGAGATCAACAGTATCTTGAACAGCCTTCGATAAATAGGTGGAGCACTAGGACAGGATTTGATAGCTCAGAGGTTGATCCCGTCATGTAATTTATGTTTGAATTTACACGGTAGTCACTCCAGTTTTACCAAGTATGTTGATTAAAATGTGCAAATAAAATAAAATTTAATTTCTTGTTTGTTTTCATTGCTCATGTGAAGAAACTGTATATTATTATGTAAATATGATTTAGTGGAATTGATTTTAAATGTGCACTCTGGTAAGGTGCTGTGAAATATACAACAAAAAGATTTTTTTTCATCTATTACTCCAGATTGTTTTTAACTGGATGAGAAATTCAAAATTTCTTAAAATCTTTCCCCCCCCCCCCCCCCCGGCGGCACTGGTGGTGTACTGGTAAGCGTGATTGCCTATCACCCCAAAAGTCCAGTCGGCGCAGCCCGGATTTTCTGAGGCATAAAATCTCTGATCACGCCTTTGGTCCCCGACTCATGGATGGGTCGATAGGTAGGGTCCAGGTGTGAGAGCTGCCTCCCTGGCGTCGGTAGCATTGGTAACAAGTACGGAAAACAAGATTGACGGAAAACAAATCAAAGAAAAAAATACATAAAATCTTTCTCCTTTTGCCAGATTAGCATTCATGCCCCTGCCCTCTTCGGTCGGAATGAAACGTAACGCCAAACCAGTGTCATCAGTATGTGCAGTGGAAAATGTTTGGAAGAAGTGCCAACTGGTCCTTGTTCGAATCGAGATAGTCTTTAGGACTGAGGTAAATAAAAGTTTTTCTTACTGGCGTTCGCTCGATAGGAAGTGAAATACTGGTATCGGTATGTGCACCCTTTAGACTCTTCGTCATTCTCAAGCACTCTTTGCAAACAGTACGTGTGTTCGCCAAACTTCGTAAGATGTAGCC